TGGGTGCATATTTATTAACATTTGTTTTACTTGTTTTCTTAGAGAGTGAAGAAAGTTGTTGAGTTCATCTTTTTCTTTTTCTTTGAATGCATGCGGCACAGCGAGAGCTTTTGTATAACAACGAAGAACAGAAAATAAATTTAAGAGAGATAAACCAGATAGAAGCCCTTTTTCTTTTTCTAGTTTTTCCTTTAATGATAAAAATAAATCTGTTTCAACTCCAGTATTACCACCAAGAGAGAAAGCAGAAAAAAAACCAAGTTTCTTTTTTTCTCTTTCTGTTGATGATGCATGGCCTGCATAGAAACATTCCATGAGAGAAGTAACCGAAAGAACTTCTTGCGGTGTATGTACATGTTTCATGTTACTGCGGAGATGTTTCAAAAGAACTTTTTCCACTTCTTTTTCTCGCAGAGTCGGCGGTAAGCGGCCGTATGCACCGCCAACCTCACCGAGTTGAATAAGTGAAAAAGATGGAGCCATGTGTATGATCTGGTGTTCTAAATGTGGTAAAAATGTTTCGGAAACAAAATTAGGAGGAATTTCCTTTTTAAAAACCCGAGAAGTACGAGCTAAAGCTGAGTTTCTATCGATTTCAGATGCCGTCACTTGGGCTTCACCGCCNAAACCCGAGAAGTACGAGCTAAAGCTGAGTTTCTATCGATTTCAGATGCCGTCACTTGGGCTTCACCGCCGGCGGTTTCTGCCTCATTTTTAGCGCTTTCCGCCGGAATCTTCGAGGATTCCGATGATAATACAGCTGCAGAAGATATATTTGATGAAAATCCTCGACGAATGCTGCAAGTTTCCCCCAAAAAAGCTCTGGAAACGCACAGAGGAGTGGTGCCGGTGCATGACGCCGTTTCAGGTGTACGTACACCCGAAACTCCAGCCCCGCATGCAACCATCGGGGTGTTTTTTTTCACATTTTTTCTGTTAATTCTATAAAGAGATACAGAACCGCGAGAGGGGAGAACTCCATGGGGGGTCGTTGAAAAACATGAAAACAAACGGCTGGCGTCCCTCTGCCGCTGCATGCTGGCGTATACACCTGAATAGCAGAGGAAGAAATTCTTCTTAAAAACAGAAAAAAATAAAAAACAAATAAAAAAGTCCACGAAAAAAACATTTATAAACCCTCTGGCTTGTCTCGGGGCTGCAGCCGTCGAGGCCCTACCAGCCGCTGCTGCGCATGCAGCAGCTCCACTCCTCTTATAAACTTTTTTTGTTTTTTATTGTTTTCTTCTTTTTCTTTCTCGCGTCTGCTTGTGCAGGTCGCAGAGGGGGGGCGGGATTCATACGGGGGGTTCCTTCTTTTCTATACTTCCCCCTACACCCCAGTTTCTTTATCTCAAACCCTAAACCCTAAACCCTAAACCCTAAACCCTCAACATGAGCGGTGAAAGTCCAGGGGGGGCGCTGTCTAAGGCGGATCCAGCTCCGCAACAGCAGCAGCAGCTGCAGCAGCAGCAACAGCAGCAGCAGCAGCAGCAGCAAGGGCAGCAGCCGGCATCGCCCGCTGATGCGAACAGCAGCAGCACCAGCAGCAGCAGCAACGGCTGCAGCAGCACCACGCACGACAGCAGCAGCACCAGCAGCAGCAACGACAACCACCGCGGCAGCAGCAGCAGCAGCAGCAACAGCAGCAGCAGCAGCAGCAGCAGCAGCAGCAGCAGCAACATGAAAGAAGAGAAGCATTGTGAAGCTTCTCCATCAAATATATCAGACCCCCGACTGGCGTTGTATAAACTAGGCTTAAATAAATTGTTAGGTAAATAAAATAATTCTAGGGTTTAGGGTTTAGGGTTTAGGGTTTAGGGTTTAGGGTTTAGGGTTTAGGGTTTTGTTTGGCTTTTTTCGTTTCTTTGTTTTCTTGTCTTTGTATATATATATATATATATATGCGGTTTATCATTCCTTTTTTATTTTTATTTTTATTTTTATTTTATTTTTTTTGTTTTTGTTTGTGTGTAGAGTTGGTGTTGTTATGTAAAGTCCAAGAGAGGGCCCCCCAGCCCTCCGAAGCAAACGAAGCAGCAGCAGCAGCAGCAGCAGCAGCAGCAGCAGCAGGAGGTCCTGCAGCAGCAGCATTTTTATCTCGTTGCAGCTGCGGCTGCACCTGTGCTTATCCAACCCCCCCAGCACCACCATCATCATCAGCAGCAACAGCAGCAGCAGCAGCAGCAGCAACAGAACCATCCCC